AGTTTCGGCGTTTATGCAGACACGGCCTAAAAATAATTACCTAACACCACCCTAGCCAGCTAACAGAGAAAACAATAAAATTTTGATGGTCAATAATATCAGAAAAGTTTTATTCAAAAGAAGTAAAGAGTGGCAGCTAGGTGGTGCAGGGCACAGAGTATCAGCCTTGGATTCAGGAGGACCCGAGTTCAAATCCAGCCTCAGACACATAACACTTACTAGTTCTGTGACCTTGGGCAAGTCACTTAACCCCACTGCCTAGCCAAAAAAAAAAAAAAAAGGAAGTAAAGAGTTCAAAGCCAAGAAAATAGGATGGGAAACTATCCTAGTTGTTGTTGGTTATCATATAACATATATGTGTGTACATATGCCACAAGGTACTTTGTATTTTCAAAGCACTCAATTAAAAAAAAGAAGTACAATTGAGAGATCCCTGGACTTAGTTGCAGGAGAAATGAGAAATATGTCCTTTCCTAGCTTCAGCACTGGCTTGTTGAATAACTCTGGGGAAATCGCCATTCCTGCCTCAGTTTTCCCATCTATATAGTTGGGTGGATACTATCTACTAAATCACAAATGTAGGCATTTAAAAGAATTAGTTAGAAAAATATTCAAATCATTTTTATTTTCTAAGCCAAAGAGATTTCATAAGAGTATGATTTCTATATCTTATTACTATTTTTTATAAAGACACTGAACCACAAGTTAAATTACTTCTGAAATACATCATTATTGCTATTTTTCTCATTAATGTGAATCAATAAACAAGCATTTATTAAGTGCTTATTCTGTTCCAGCCACTGTGTAGTGTAGTGGTTAGGGTTAAAAAAAAAAGAAAAAAAAATAAAACAATTTCAGGCCCCAAGAAGTTGATAATCTATTGAAGAAACAGGTACATACACTCTTATACATACATTTATATGCAAAATACATACAATGTAAATGCAAGATCATTGTTAGGGTGGGGCATTGGTAATTGGGGGGGGGAGGAATCATAAGCACATGTATTCTAAGCACACATATTACCGTATTAACACCTGCCATTAACACTGAATCAAAACTGTTTCCAGTTTATTTTCTTTATTCACCATGCTACAAAGATAATGTCCACTGATCTTTCCAAATTGTAGTTCTCAGAGTGTATGATTGACTATGCTGCAGAGAGATGCTCTGACAATCCACACAATCAACTTGCTCAGATGTCCTTTTAAAGATAGTTATGATTATATCTCTGAAATCCTGTCACATTTCATCAGCACTCCAATAAGTTTCATTTTGTTTGGAGGCAGGGGGATAAAAACAGCCCTTCTGTCCTTGAAAGAAGCTCCAGGAATACATAATGAAATCCAAAAAAATGGAGGTGAGATTCTTATTATTGTCTTTGTAAAAGATCCAGGTCTTTTTCTGTGTTGAGCTGGGCTGTCCTAGAAAATGATTAAAGTGTCTCTGTCATATCTGTAAATAATCCTATTCTTTCAGTGATAAGAGTGGAGCCACAGTCACTGCTTCCCAGTACCACTGGTAACATGAATGAGTTCATATAGCTACGCTCTTCACACCTGTACAAAAGCCCTTCCTCTAGGAACAGAACATGTAGCTTTAGACTGTGTATTTCACTGGCCAGAAAGCTTTAGTTTTGAATTCTGGATCTTTTCCCTTAATAGCTAGGTGACTTTAATAGCTAAGTCACCATTGCTGACCTCCAATTTCCTCCAGTAAAATTAGGAAGAGGAAGAGTAGATTATCTTTCAGGTCCCTCCCAATTCTAAGTCTAAACTCCTTGAGAGCTGGGGCTATAGATTTTAACCCTCAGAAGTTAGCCCAGTTCCTAGCAACTGCTTAATAAATGCTTTTGCATTCCTGCTTCCTGTGATTTCTTCATTTGTACCTACTATTCTGACTACTCTCACATATGATACTAAGTAATCTTAGTGAAAAGAGATATCAGTTTTCAAGAAGTCCTTTCTGAAATCCTTTCACTGTCAGAACTATTAGCTGGGTAATAATGAATCTATCTCTATCAAACCTGACTGGACAATTTTAAGATTTAGAGTTCAGGTCAAGTTGCAACAGGAAGTGATCAAAGAAGTTTGATGCAGAATAATTTGTGGAGTGGCTACAAATTTTGGTTTTCTCATTCTTTTTAACAATTTGGTATCTCCATTCCAGGCAGAGTCTAATGTTGCACAGTGGAATTCTATTAATGTTAAAGATATCTAGGGGGCAGCTTCCTGGCGCAGTGGATAAAGCAGCAGTCCTGGAGTCAAGAGGACCTGAGTTCTAATTTAATCTCAGACCAACACTTGACAGTGGCTGTGTGAGCCTCAGCAAGTCACTTAACCCCAACTGCCTCTCAGAAAAAAAAAAAGATATCTAGGCATAAAATGTAGGTACCCTCAGCATCTATTGATCTGTAGCATGGACATTCTTGTAGATAACTGCTATATTTCACTTCCACAGCATCATTCATTTTTTCTTCCAGGTCCCATGAAATTGATTTGGCTAAAGTTATTTGATTTCATTATGCCATTAGCAATTAGTGGAGGACATATGTGAATATGTAAGCATATGTTCTTAATGAAAAAAAAATCAAGTTTCCATGGACCCTCTGAAACCAATAACTTCCGTATTTTCCAAAAGTAACACTTCTCAACTGCACCATTATTTCAAGGATGAGTGACCTGGTTCCTTGAATTTCAAAGCTACCTAACCAAACTCAGGAAGAACATACACAGATAGACATGTAGCTGGTATTAAAATGTTACTGCAAATAGTAACTAATAAAATCCCAGCACACGCTTTTATTTCTACACCCACCAGTTAACACAATGCTGACGCAGAGCAAGAGCCTAACAACCTGCTAGTGAGGACTACGGGGAACTCTTTACTTAGAAAAAAACATACCCTGCAGTATGAGGAAATATATCAAGAAATGAAAACAAATTTACAGCCGTGTCATTAGATGTTGTGCTTAAGAAGGCAAAATAAAAGCTGGTAAGTAATAACTTAGGACTCCCTAACCATGTAGTGGAGTTTTTAGTATATATGACATGAAATATTTATTATTTTACATCAAATGTGTTCATAAACAAAGCTCAGCATTATGGTCTTTGTGACCATATTAACAAATCTATATGCTTGGAATGGCCAGAAATGTAGATGAACCAAAACAAAGATTATCTCATGTCCATTTTCTTATGAACCTACAGAAAACAGATCTTTTGACATGTGATCTTAAATACAGGTGATCTTTCAGACAAATTTCACACAGAAGTTATTAGTACAATGAATTCTGTCTAATAGACCATCTATCAAATAGATGACTTTTCCATGGAATTATGGAGGGTCTCTACTTTTCATGTGCTGTTGTCCTTAGAACTTAAATTCAAAGCACTTAGTAGTTTTCATAAAATTTCCTGTGTATGGCTCCCTTTTTCACAGGTTTTTTTTTTTAAAGAACAAGTAACTATCCTAAGTTTACACAGCAAGGTAGTAGCAGAATCACAGCAGAACAGCTCCCTGGTCTTTGATTCTAATGAGTTAGTTACATGGCCTCTTCTAGACATGCCACCAGTCCTCAATCAGCATTCCTACTACAAAAAGATACCGTTGTTCTAATCATTAAACTCCAAGGAAACACTTGGAAAACTCACTTAAATTAGAACTTTTTGTTGTTTTGAAGATGGGGATAGGAGAGAGCAGAGCAGATAGGAAAAAAGTTGAAGGGATGGTAATGGTAATCTATCCTAACTGTATCACTTTTAAAAAATTTTTTTTCAGCTTAGAATTCTCAAACACAAATTATTTCACCTCAGTAATTTAGATGTCTCTATATGAAGGTTACTACTCTGTCAAGAGTTCATTCACTTGCACTCAATGCACTCACATTTAGTAAAGCAAACACAGGGTACAAAGCCATTCTACTTATCAGGGCCCAAAGTAAACATTGTTGATTTAATTAATCTGATCCAACTGAGAATCTGTGCTTACTGAAACAGTACCATCATGCCTGCAACAGCTCAGCTGCTGAGGCTAAAAGAAAATCTATCTATATCTCTGTTTACACACATGCATATGGATAGATACACTGTAACCACAAACTGGCCATAAGCCCTCCGATCATCTGGGGCTCAATTTAAGAATCTATCCTCATATTACTGAACTCCATGATAATCATACAGTTCTAGAGCATAGTTAAACTGTTTTACCTAATACCTATTAATAAATTAGAAGACCTTCTGTAAGCTGGCACCAAGGGCAGAGTTGCAATTGGCCCAATCTGGTTTTCCTGAAAATAGCAAGCAAACCACATGCATTCTGTTCCCAGACCAAATCACAAAGTCCAACCAGACTGTTTCTAGAATAAGAAGTTTCCCCTTCAGTTTCATCCTTGTTAATAGGCCTGAAGTCTCTATAATCACCTGTTCCTGAAGGTGATTTGTTTCTGAAACCTATTGATAAGTAAAGAGGCAATTGTCTAGAAATATTTTTAAGGCACAAACAGGAGCAAATAAACTGGTAGCCAAATTTAACAAATATTAAAACCAAAATCAAATACATGCATACTGAGTTGGTTTCAGTTATGTACCTGAAATAGCAAAATCTCCCATTATGTCTTGGAAAGCACAGGTTTGATGCTCAGTGAGGGCCATAAAATGCCCCAAATGTCTTTACCTATCAGTGAATTTTAAATACTTTTATAGTCGGCCAATTCCTGGAAATAAAGGGTCAGTTACCAGTGGCTCTCCATCCTTGTTCATCCTGAGAACAGTAAAGCCACAGGGAGTTAACTAAAGTGTGGCCCCTTTGCACTCTCTCTCTCTGTTCTCAGAAACCTGCCACAGTAGAGCATTCATTCTGTCGATTCAAAAACAAACATAAATAATTCCCACTGAGATTGGTTATATAACATATACAGCTTCTAGAAAACGAAAGTAAATAAAAGAGGAGTGAGAAGCATGCGCCAGAAGAGGGAAGATAGATTTCCATGGTCCACTTACTCGAATGCGAAGAAGAGTCCGCTAGTGACCAAGATGAGGACAAGGGTCAGGTAGAAGACGCCCGTCTGCCGAGCCATCATGATCCTCCCATTACAAAAGAATTTGTTTCTTCCTGGGAAAACCTCCCATTTCCTCCGGGCCGCGATTTTCTTTTTCTTATGGGGTGACTCCATGGGAGAGGAGCTGTGAGTGCTGATCTGACTGTACTCGCAGTCTTTCATGGGCCCACCGCCTCCAGGAGTCATCAAAGAGGGTAGACAATTGGGGGGCTCAAATTCCCCACCCCGCCCCCCAAAAAAGCACAAACCACTTAACTAAAACAACCCCACTCTCTAAAGCCCCTTGGCCACCAGCACAAGCTCAAATTAAAACTCCCCAAATAGGTTACCGTTCCAGTGATAACTTTGCCAAGCAGCCCAAGTTAACCCTTTGGAGACCAAGGCTGTCATAGTAGAAAGATTCCTCAGAGAAGGAGCTCCCCACCACCCACTATTATTCCTCAATTCTATCACGTGTTGGAGGGGTCATGAAATTAAGTCCAATGAAGGAAAAAATGACACCCTCTACCACACACAAAACATACACGCTCACATACACACACACAGTCCACACCACACCACAGTGCACTCGCTTTCCTTCTCCGTGCCCCTCTCACTGCCACCGGTAGTTGATTTTTAATCCCTCTTCCAGATGACCCCTGCTGGGGGATGTCTAGGGTGGCGGGATCTGAACTCGACTGTAGGGGCAGCGGCTGTGGGCGCGCAGAGAGCTTCACTAGCTGCTCCTCTCCCCTTCGCCAGGTTTATTATAATCCATTCTCCAGGCAGCAGCTCTTCCCCCGAGAGAAAGAGATGGAAAAGAGATGGTAGTCCGAGCCACCCCCAAGCTTCCAGGGGGTGGGGGAGGGAAACAAGAACAAAATCCAAAACAAAACCACGTTGCTTTTGTCGGAATAGATCCTTCTGAAAGCCCAGGCACTAGTCCAGCTAAGAGCCCCCAATCTACCCAGCTGTTTGTAAAGCGGACTTCTCCACACCCAGCGCCGCCGCGGCAGAGCTGGGACTGTGGGACTAGGACGAGCAGGAGGACAAGATCTCGGCAGCGGCTGCTCACCGATTGTGTGGCGAGTAGCTGAGTATCTTCCGCTTGCCCGAGTGAGGAAGAAACGCCAGCGGGGGTGGGCCTTGGGTAGACAGCGACAGACACTTGTTTGCAAATGCTCTCCCCAGCGCCGGCTGCAAGGATCCCGGGCCGGCGCTTCAGAGATTTTCCACCTCCTCGCGGCCCCGGTGTGGGCGAAGGGTGTAAGCGTTTGTGGCGCGGGAGTGGTTGGTTTGCTTCTACACCCCGGGGCTCCTCCTCTTTCTCCTCCTTCTCTGGGGTTAAGCCCCTCAGATGGGGCAACCCTCCTGCCCTAGGCTGGTGCTCCGCTCCCTCGGTCTCAGCATGCCCATGCTGCCACCCATCACTTCAGGACTCCCTGTCTTTTAGGGTCTATCACATTCGGCACCTCCTTGCTCCAGGGCTGAGCGTGGTACTGAAGCGCAGCTGCGGGGGTCCTCAGCTCGCGTAGCCCCCGGGAGAAGCAAAGGTCACACCCCCAGCAAGCGGCTCTAGGAGGCCGCCTCCAGAGCAGCTTGCACTACACACACACACACACACACACACACACACACACGACTTCTGTCCGCCTTCCTCCTAGGGAACCTCTTTTTCCAGGCAGCAGCTGCCACCGGACCAAAAATATTAAAAAGCAAAAAAGCTGACCGAGAGACCAGCTCGTTCTTTTGACTTCTAGCGGAGTGAGGGGGAAACCAAAGAGAAGTATCCAGTCCCCTCACCCCTCATACTCCAGGCTGTTTCCTGGAGCCTCCACCCCAGTTACCAAGAGATTTACGGACACATAACCCTCACGTTCCTTATCTGAGACGGGGGAGGAGTCCACACACTGAGGGTGACCGGGAATTGGGGTAATTAAAGAAACAGCCAATGCTCGGAATCGCAGAAGGAAAAGCAGGGGAAGCTCGCTTCCTCTTTCTTTCACCAAGGAAATCAGTTCTATAGGGAGAGGTCTCTGCTAGACCAGCCTCTCCCACTCCTCTCTGAGGCCACTAAAGACTCCAGTCTCTTTTCTCCCAGCACGGGGAGCGAAAGAAGGGGGGAAGGGAGAGGGAGAATGGAGTGGCTTCTATTTTTCCCTCCCAAAATAACAGATTCTGTATTATCATTAGCTCTATCTGTGCCATGCTTTCCCTCTTTTTGTACCCCTCATGCCCCAGTACTAGACCTCAGTCTTTGTTCCTTTTATTCCTGTCTGTTGCTGTCTGTCTTCCTTTCTTTCTTTGTGGAGTTCCTACACCAGCCGGAATGGGAACTGCCTCCCCTTTCCCTCCTCTCACGCCCATCCATCCTTCCACTTCCCAGCCTAATAACCACAGGGTAATCTCCCAGCAACTGGGAAATGTGTCAAATCAACCCATTCCCCCAGTTGACATTAAAAGAAGCGGGAGGAGCTAGTCTCGCTTTCTCTCTCCGCCTCCTCCTTTCCTTCTTCCCTCGCTTTGCTGCCGTCACTCGGCTGGACGAATAAGCGAGCCTGGGAGATCTAGGAGACCTTGCCACAATTCACAAAGCTGTGCGTACTTAGATAAAAGGATGGGGGTGGAGAAGAGAGGGAAGAGACTTCTGTCCCTCCCACTTCTTATTTTGCACTTTCCTTTCTCGACCCTCTGGGATTAGTAGTTCATTCTTTTGCGTCTGGCCCCAAAAAATTACAACTTGGGGAACATAAAAACTACAAACCCCAGCATTCCTCGCAAAGAGAATGAGACGAGCAATTGCTACATTGCATTCTCCTCGGAAGAGTTTGAAGTGTGACTTGCCCCTCGTGGGTAGAGCGAAGTGCTTGAGATTGATTTCCGATGGTGAAAAAATGAGGCGGAAAGTTGAGGAGAGATAGTTGTGACAAGAAAAAAATAGGCAAATAGCACCTGGATTATTAGGGGGAAGGGGGAACGCAACAGGCTAGGGTTTTAAGAATGAAGATGAAATGTACAAACGTCCTTTTCTAATCTGGTTAAATTCTTTGATTGGGAAGAGACACAAAAATAGAATTAGATTCAAAAAGAGCGGTTTTTTTTTCCCAAAGCAAAGCAGAGAACCATAGGGATGATTAAGCAGTTAATGACTTCTTAAAACTGAATGATGTGGATGTTCCTAAGAAATGTAGCATGAAAAATATCGACATTCCCCAACTTCTCAAAAGGTTTCCTAAAAATGCAAATATTAGTTATTTGGAACTCAATGTATGTTCCCATAGAAACAATGTTATATTTGTTGGGTTCCTTAGCCACTCCACAAAAGCTTATTTAACCCTTTGATGTCCTGGATGTAGAATACTGTACACTATTAACCCTAATATCAAGACTAACAATGTTGCTTTCAGAAAACATAATCCCATTTGGGAAACCTGGAACAAATCTCCACCTACTCCAGCAGGTGCCCTACTAAGCAGCCTAACACTGGAAACAGTAACCTGGAGCAAGAAATTCAGCAAAATTGCTTCACATTTATAATGAGTATCATAATTGTTTGCCTTCTGAAAGGGTGGAGGAGGGATCAGAGGAAGGGAGAGCATTTGGAACTATTTTTTTACGTGTTTAAAATAAATAAGAAATTCAGCAAAATATGGCCTAGAGGGAAAGAAGGGAGGGATGAGCAGTAGCGTTCTGGGGGAAGGGGGACCTAGCTGCAGGTTTTTAGTGAAGTATGAACCTAGATTGGGGTGGGGGTGGAGAGGAGTCTTTGGTGAAGGAAAGGAGGAAAGATCCACTAATCCACACACAGGGAAGAGAAGTTTTGCTCAATAGGCCACCTACCCGGAACGTACGTGAATTGACTTCGGTAAAGTAGGGGCTGCCTATATTTTTTTTTTAAATTATTTGGGAGTTAGAAGATCTATACACACAAATATTTTTGAAAATTAAAAGACACTATATGTTACCAATATATTGGTGAAAATCAGGATGATGACAATGCCCAAGCATCAGTGGTTAAGGGGTAGAAATTCTAGACAAAATAGTCTTTGTGATTCAAATTTAAAGGGAATTCAAATCCAGTCTCCACCACATTAAAGTGACAGAACCTTGGGCAAGTCCTGAACCTCAATTTCCTTCTCAGTGCTGTGGGGGTGGATAATTTTAATTTTTTTAAAAAATTATTTATAGCATTCATTTTTAAAATAATATTTTTATTTTTCCCAATTGCAGGTAAAAACAAGTTTGAACATCCTTTTTTTTTTTAAATTTTGAGTTCCCAGGTAACTTTATAAGGCAACAAATTATAAAAACCATATAGGGATAATAATACTTGCATTAGGCAGTGTGGTACAGTAGACTTGGAGTCAGAGGATCTAACTTCAAATCTTGGCTGACAGCTAGGACTTATGTGATCTTAGCCTAAGTTTCCTAGTCTGTAAAATGAGAGTGCTGTACTAGATGGCCTCTCAGCTCTACAGCCTGTGACCTCACAAATTATTGTGAGCAAAGTACTCCGAAAGCCCTAAATTTGAGTTTTTATTAGAGCATTATTTTCCATTTATTCACTGCAAAGAACTTGTGTTAGATCCATTGATTTTGCATCTTTATAATGACAGAAAATGTTAATTTAATTGTTAATATGATTACAGAAATTAACACCAAATGTCATATGGACTGCCACTCTCTTAACCCTGGTAATGTCAGAATTTCAGTAATGTCCCTACATTCCTACTCTTGAGATATTTACTCTTGATTAGGTTGAGCTGAACCACACCCTAGGTTCCCCTACTCAGGGATTTTGCCTTGTGGAGGAGCCCAGCCCAAGTTGGATTCGGTGTCCTTGCTCCCTTCCATTGGGATTCATGGCATGAAGGGCAAAACAGCCAGAATGAAGTGGCTTTCCTTGACCAGATTGCCAAGGGTCACTGGGGTCTCATAATCAGGACTTGCTACCTCTTACTGACTCCTTGCCCCTCCTCCTAAAGGTATAAGAAGCTTTTGCATGAGCCTGGAGTTAGGAAATCCACTGGATATCCCCCAGAGAGACAGGTTTGCTACCCTGTTATTTCATTTAAAGACGATTTATTCCTCAATTCATGCCTTTATTTCAGGACCTGACTGTAGTCACACCTATAATTTCATTAATCAAAGTTACTTTTAAAAATTATCCCTTCCCCTTGCCACTCCCCTACCCCTCCCCCACCCACAAGTTCTTTGTACTACATGGATTTCTATTCCTTTGATCTGGGCTCCTTTTCTATTGTTTTGCTAAAGGCTATTTAAATTCACAAACTTCACTTTTCAGGTCTAGGTATGTCAATCCATAAATTATTCAATAAGTGTTTATAAACAAGTACTGTGGGACAGCTAGATGGATAAAATGCTGGGCCTGGAGTCCAGAAGTCTCATCTTCCTGAATTTAAATCTGGCTTCAGACACTTAGTAGCTGTGTGACCCTGCACAAGTCACTTAATCCTGTTTGTCTCTATTTCCTTGTCTGTAAAAATTAAGTGGAGGGGCAGCTAGGTGGCACACTGGATAGAAAATGGGCCCTGAAGTCAGGTGGACCTGAGTTCAAATCCGGTCTCAGACCAAACACTTGACATTTACTATCTGTGTGACCCTGGGCAAGTCACTTTGCTCCAATTGCCTAAAAATAAATAAATAAATAAATAAAGATTAACTGGAGAATAGATGGTGCAGTGGATAGAGCATCAGCCCTGGATTCAAGAAGACCTGAGTTCAAATTTGGTCCCAGACACTTGACACTTAGTAGTTATGTGACCCTGGGCAAGTCACTTCACCCCATTGCCTTGACCAAAAAAAAAAATTAACTGGAGATGAAATGGCAAACCACTCCAGTATCCTAGCCAAGAAAACCCCAAATGGAGTAACAGAGGCAGAAACACAGCTGAAAATTACTAAACAACAGTGTGCCAGGCACTGTGCTGGATTGATAGGGTTGCAAGGACAAAAGTGACACAGTCTTTGCCACACCCAAGGAGCTTAAATTCTATTGAGAAGGATAACATATATAATATATATATATATACATATATGTGTATGTATATGTGTCTATGCCAAATAAACACAGTACAAGATGATTTGGGCAGGGAACCACTAATATCAGGGTCCTCAGATCAGGAGAGGTCTTTTATGAGATGGCAGCCTGTGAGATGAATTTTGTGAAGGAAACTAGTAACAGCTGAGGAGGAAGGACATTCCAGGAGTGAGGGACAGTCTATGTAAAGCCACAGAAACAGGAAATGGGTTGTCATGTATGAGGAAGAGCAAGGAAGCCGTGTCTGGAGTAATATATGAAAGGCTAGAAAAGTAGATTGGATCCAGGTTGTGAAGGGCCTTAAATTCCAAACAGATGAATTTGTATTTGATTCTAGAGGAAGTAAAGGGCTTCTGACATTTGTTCAGCAGGGTGGTAACATGGTCAGACTTGTGCTTTAAGAACAACACTTTGACAGCTAGTAGGGATGGATTGGAGAGGAGGAGAGACTTATAGCAGAGAAACCAGTTGGCAGGGTTTTTTTAAATATATTTTTAAAATTTAGTTATTTATTTTCAGTTTTCAACATTCACTTCCATAAGATTTTGAGTTCCGTATTTTCTCCCCATCTCTCACCTCCCTCTGATGGGGTACAGGCTCAAGCCGAGACCGTTGCCCCTTACCTCAAAAAGAATTTGGGTCCTCTTTGTCTATGGCATTCTCCTTGAATTCTCCTACTTGATCAAGGAAGTCTCTGGAGCTCGACTGAGGCTACAATCCTATCAGTTGGCCTTTCACTATGGCCTATGCCCAATCTCCGAATTCTGTAACCCCTAACTTAGTCTAGCCCTCCATTGTCTTACCTCCAGAGGGCCCCAAGCCACTTCTCACCCTTAATCCTATTTAGACCCCATTCTCCCTGGCATTCTATTCACCCCAGCCTACTGGCCACTCCCATCAAGATCTTTACTAGATCCCTCCCACAGTCTTTCTGTGTATAAGGTCCATCTTGTCTCCATTAAGGTGCTCAGATTCTTTAAGAGTTTAGCCAAGGGCTGAGATTCTTACAATCTAGCCAATAGCTCACAAATGTTCAGATTCCTTAAAAGTCTGGCCAGTATGGCTGATCTTTAATAAACCTTGTCTTTGGCTGAAAGAAGGCTTGAGTCAAATTCATTCGGGTAGAACCCGTGGGTCATGATTTTGGGGTCCCAGTGTAAGAAAGATTTTAGGGGGTTAGGCTTCCACAGCAGGGTAAGAAATTCCAAGATCTTGTGGCTAGTCCCTCAACCAATCAGAAAGTATAGCAAACAACTAGTTCCTTAAGAAAGAGCCCTGGAGTCTAAACAGTTGCAACTCGTCAGGTTCAAGGATGGGCTTCGACAGGGCAAAGGCTTTTCCCCACTGTGCTTG